TCTCCAAATTGTTATGTGTTTTGTTTTGTAGAATTTGTTGAGGGCCCCTTTGTGTCAGCTTTTTAGCTGTAAGAACAATGTCCAATAAAAGTAAAATAAAAAATTAGCTTGTGAAGGTCCTAAATCACCCTGCGATCCACTTCCAAGCACCGAAAGGTCCACTGATTAATCTCAGATAAGAAAGTATAATACATACTCCAAGTATTGAAATACTGATGATGACATAATTAATGTCGAAATATTGAATCCCAACACGATGGCGTGTATTTCAATACTTGGAGTATGTATTATACTTTCACTTCCAAGCCTTACATAGGTTTACTGTAAAGGACAGACTATCATCAGAAGATAGCATTGGATTCACATTATATCGTTTAAGAAAACAACTAAATAATCATCCGAAAACCATAAAATTCTCTAAACAAAGATTATTTTATAATTAATATTTTATAATAATCTTCATTCATATCAGCTACTGGCATTAAATTATACTGCACTATCATATTTTAATAAACCTTCATACTTTCAAAAGGTGAAATTTTCCTACTATATTTATTAACAATTTAATGTATTTTAATAAATTTAACAGTGAAAATTAATTAATTATTTCAATCAGTGGATTTTGCTTTCACAATTTCAAATAATCAATGACTTGGAAAAAGGGCAAACTTGTGAAAATGATTGTAAAACACACGGATATTACAGTTTTACAGTCCTTTGAAAATTTGTTCAATTCATAAACAGGGTCAAATGAGAGACAATGTGTGAATTCAATATTTGTTTAATTAAGCTGAAATTCTCGCAATTGGCCTCACAGTGAGATGACGAGCTGTTCTAATAACACCATTCCGCAAAAGTAATTAGCTACAGTACCTACTGACTGATGTCGAGCTTGTTACTGTACATTAATTAAAAATATTTGATGACAATTAATGAATATTTGGATACAGATAAACAAATTTATGTAATTATGAAACTACGAGAATTGAGTCTTTGGTTTTTATTGTGTTCTTGTTAATGATAGTTAACCTATCTACTGAAGGGCTCATTTGGATACCCATTTATCATACAGTAAGTACCATCTTATAATCCAGGGGGTGTAGAGTTTGGTGCTTTTCTAGTACCGCGGGAGTTAAATTAGCAACTTTTCCACCTTTTTTTAGTTAAGATAGGTCCATGGCATTGGTAGTACAGTAGGTTGTATCTGTTCACAATGAAAGTTTATCTTACCTTATCAAAAAGTTTATCTAATCTAGTCTTCTAAATTAGGCTAAATTTATTAATTTCCTCACAGCTTACACAAGATCATATAGAGCCAGCTTATAGCTACATAATCTGTTAACTGATTTAATGACAATTACAGAATAATTTTTTAATCCAAAATGAATTGTTTTAATTTGGGTCACTACATTAAATGGTAATTTTTGAGTAGGCCTATTAAGCTTGGTTCCATACAATCACTACATGCTATCGCTGGGAACTTTCGGTGATGCTGATTGGTTGGTTGAATCGGGAAGCCTTCCCGATTGCTTTGGGGCTACTAGCTACTAAAAAAAAAGCAGTTTCTCGTCCTAATATTTTGAAAAAAGAATGAGGGCACATTTTTTTTTTTTTTTTCACTCCGAGATGGAACACCTAAGATGGTCGATGGGAAACAGCTATAGTACTACTTTCTCACTTTTATTTTACCAAGTACTGTAGACACATTGAAAGCAAATGAAAATACTGTAGCAATAGTATATCTATTGTATGGAAGCAAAACTTCACTGTAGTCTAATTAAAAGGGTTACCCTTTTAAAATACATTATATGCCTTTATGAATGGAAAATTAAAGATTATATTTATGAATTAATGAATAATTATTTTCTTTATATTAAAGAAAATGTAAGATAATTCCTTCCCTATATTCACACACATTTAAAAAACAAATATAACATAAAACAAGGTACCAGAATACAGTATTATCAGATACATTCCTGTCTCAAATTTTCGTTAATGATTATCATTCGCTAGTTACATTTCAGTAAAATATTGTATATTTAAAGTGTTGGAATCCAGAGCCAGGGCCCTTGAGACATATTAGAAGTAATAAATCTTGATTATGTGTTTGTGGAATGTTGTTGAGAGAATACAGCTTTCCATACTGTACTGTAGCATTAGACTGTGAGAGAGTTTGTAGTGAACTGCTTTTGATGTAGATTATTTTGGATCCTAAGTAATATTTAGTTCAAGATTTTTTTTTTGCCTTGTTTAGCGAAACCGCCGCCTGCTAATAATGGTGATTTCGAATCAAAATAAAATTGCATTTTTGGACAATTAGTGCATCCGCCGCCATGAAAAAATGGAAATTTCAAGAAAAAAAAAATTTTCTTTATTTTTCTTACACCCGCTGCTACCTTGAAATCGCCAAAAATAAGATATTTCTTCATACTCATACGGGTGTAAATTTAAGGCATTTAACCATCCCATTACTACACTGTTTACACTCACCAAAAAAATTTATTTTATTTTCTGCCAAAACTATTTGCTGAATGAAAAACCAAAATTTTATTTTTATTTTTTCCCCGCCCTCCTCTGACGATCTTTAAAAAAATTATTTCACGAAAACAAGGTGTAAAAAAATTCTTGACGGTCTGTAATAAAAAAAAAATGTCCCTGGTACTGTAAGGTTTTTGTGGCTTTATTATGGTCTAAAATTACTTTTAGACCACAATATTAGGGATTAGCAATCATAATAAGGTTATTTGAGATAGAAAAATTATGATTTTTAAAAATTTTTTATCCGACGGCCTAGTCGTTTGTCGGACGTCAGGGGGTCCAGGCTTGTCTAATGGGGGAAATTTCCCCCTGCTCCCCCCTCCCGCTGACACCACCACTCGTCTCAGTTCCGCAACTCAGTAAAGAGTATACATGACAGTTTAGTGTTCTTATTCAACCACTACTAATTATAATATTAATAAGCATAGTGCATTTCATATTTCAACTGTTTTACTAATCTGTGGTATACTGTTAATATAGAATATCTTCAAAAATTTCAATTGCTTATTTTAAAATAAATTAAACTATTTATTACACTATTTTCACTTTTAAAAAAATTTTATTTGAAAGACATATTGGTTGTCAGACCAATCTAAATTAATCCGATTTCTGTGATGATGATTATCATTTTTATCGTACCAAATAGAACAGCTTAGCTCAGTCAGCTAATCTGTGATAGCCACTGTGTGCGCTGAACCATGAAGATCTCTATGTCCCGGTTCAATTCCCATCGCTGCCTCTCTTATTTCAGCTGGAGGTCTGAAATAAAAGTTACAATAGCGCACCGTCTTTCAGATGAGACGTTTATGCCGTTGGTCCCATTGCACATTAAAGAATGTTGTACACTCTTTGGAAAGGAGTAGGGGATTGTCTCCTGGTATACTGTCCAATCACCACCAGAAGGACCCACTGGAAATAATTCTTCTTCTAGACTTTGTAGGCTATACTTGGTGCTTACACCGAAGAAGTCCAATCCAAATGTCCATTTTGAATGTTTTATGTTACCAACTTACAGTATTTATTCAAATGTACATACAAATATAACTTTAACTAACTATAACTTTGTTGCAAAACATGTTAATATTCTGTTAATTGGTATATTATTTAGGTGTTTTACTTTTATTATGCTGTCATAAATTCTTCTTCACAGAGACAAAATATGATGGATTATAGTTCCCTATCACCCATTGTACAGTACTGTATTTTATTGTTGCAATATGCACAGTGTCAGTACTTTAGAATCTCATATTAATAATTCTGTGTATTATAATCAATAGATCTATTTATAATTTCAAATTAACTATCTTTTATTGACTATGGCCTGATGGTGTGAATAAATATGGCTGCCAAGCAGCAGCCGACAAAATATACAAAAGTCTCAAGTATACAAATCACAAGACGATTGAAAGAAACGTTTGTTGATTTTTGTATTCTATTTCGTCTGTTAATTGTATTTAGGGCCAATTTGATAGCTTTGCTATTTGATAATAGACGCAATGGTGTGGATTGTCAGGGACTAGAATTGTTTGTGGTGTATTTGCTTTTTTACAATATTTATTGTATACGGAATAGTAGGTATTGTAGTATATCCTGTAAGTGAGTCTATACCTTTATCAATACTTTTGGATGACTAAATTGTAAGGTTTGTTTACTGGTAAGCACAGGTGTCTGTTTAAGTCCAAATAAAAAAAAAATTACTAGTATCTTATCCCGTCTTGCTTCCATTTTCTCTGCCTCACCTTTTTTTCCCCTTTTATTTCCTTTATTTTACGAAATGTACGAAAAATTGGCTAACTCACATCAGTAAAATTCCTCCCTCGAACGTTCGCGGTAAGGGATTCATAAAGTATGGTGGTATGAATCATGTCTAGTGCTTCTTTTATTTTCTTTCAATGTGTCTACTTCGTAAAAGTGAGAAAGTAGTAGCTGTTTCCCATCGGCCATCTTGGATTTGCCATCTCAGAGTTAAAAAAAAAAATGTGCCCTCATTCTCCTTTCAAAATATTAGGACGAGAAACTACTTTTTTTTTACTTGGCCTAATATGTAGCATGAGCAAAATCCAATAATTACCATAAAAAGGTAAAACTCTAATATGAAAAACTTCACAGATATTTGACGGAACAGAGTCTACTAAAGTTGTTAACTTCTTCTATGAGTAGAGTACACTGCTCTTCTTACACCCTTTGAAATTTGATCTTCGTTTAAAGTTAAAAAAAGAAGTGATTTTGTTTGGGATCTTGGTGTATTTTGTTTTTTTGAACACTGTACACAACCTCTCCAGAAAGGTATACATTCTGTCGTACATGTGTTGAAATGTAATTATGTCTAAATAACATTTAAAGGAATGACTGTCTGAGTACTGTATCCCCTTCCTTCCTGTTTTCTTTCCATACTGTAGGACTACATCACTGCAAATTTAAACAAGCTTTTTTTTGTCATTGTCACTGATTTTATTTTACAGAAAGACATGCCTGAATTGAAGGAAGAGGCTACGGGAGAGGTGCCCAGTGTAAATGACGATGACGATACTGCCAAGAAATTCAACGATAAGCCTGGTTTGGTAAGTACTAATACATTATCAATGTTTGCTCTCACGCTGTGCAAAACATGACCTTAGTAAATTTGGCCCAGATAATAATAAGCCGGGTATTTTAAACACTTTTTTGACATCTATGTCTGCCACATGTTAATGGGAAAATAAGCACATTATTGAAGTACCAATTTTTCTGGGGTACTATATGAATAAGACAACGTCCAACCTGACAGGAAATATAATATGTCCAGGTGTCATAGTAGAATCTTGTCTAGTCTGAATATAATCACTGTTTCAGAAAACAAGGACATTAAAGATTACACCCATTAGAACAATGATGCAGCATAAAGAAATGATATAACAAAAAGAAATAAATGGAAAATGTTATAATTCTGCTAAATGTTACATAAATACTTTCGATGATCTACCGTCTAAATATAGTCTACTAAAAAGAAATGTAAAGAAGACATTATCTAAATTTACACTAGAAGACCGTCGAAAAGTTAAGCTACATTACACAGTATAATCCACTCAAACATCTGTTTTTTAGGGGGGTTTACTTCCTGAACCCCCATTGGTATGTCTCTACCCTCTGGATCCCACCTCGGCTGCATGCTATAAACTGCTATACACCCTGATGTTCTTCATCCATAAAACTCTCCTGAACAATGTTTTAAATAAATTTTCTTTTTCAGACGGACGGTAATGCAAGCTTCCTTCGTGCTGCCCGAGCTGGCAACTTGGATAAAGTTTTTGACTACTTAAAAGGAAGCACCGACATCAACACAAGCAATGCGGTAAGAAAGATACTTTAGTCAAAATACTTAATATTGAAGGTTATGTAAAAATTATGAATTATTCAATGTAATTATATTCCACAATAATCAAACTTACATCAGTAACACTGCGCTGAAGGTTGTGACCGGTGCATTTCCAACATAGAGTGACTAGGTGTGCAACAGATCATTTAAAATGTCAATCCAACAATTAATAGACAGCATCGTGTCTAATTCTTCACAAGGGCGGAGATCGGTTTTTGGGCTGACCGTCGTATGACGCAATGCATACCCTACTTAATTTTCCATTACATTTCTTGAAAATATACTAATCAATTTTAAGGTATTAATGATTAATGTTCAACGGAACATTTTAATGTCTTATTACAAGCAAGAAGTGAGCAAGTTGGGCACATCACACAAAGCTGACTAAATTATATAAATGAATATACGAATGACCTAATGAATGAATGAAGCAGATGGATGACTGACTGAAATATTTAAATACAATGCCTGACTAAAATAATGAATGAATAAACGAATGCCTATCTGACTAAATGAATGAGTGAATGTATGCCTGACTAGTTTAATGAATGAGTGAATACTTTACTAATTCAATGAATGGGTGAATGAATGAATAAATACATTTGGCTTCATATTAATTGAGTAGCTGAGTTTGACTTTCGACAGTATTATTGGCTAATTTTAGCTTATTATATTAATATTACAGTAATATTGTTATAGTTCATAGTTCATGATGTTGATGGAATTCATGCTATAGAGCTGTTTGACAGAAATAGTGCTTAAGCTACTGACATTCACCTGCCACTGAGCAAAACAAGGGTAGGAATCTCCACAGGAGCTGGCCATAAATCATAGTGCTACAAACACATACACTACATTAAAGTGAAGTGTCCTCTGCTAAACTACACTTTTTTTTATAAGAACACTGAGGCTGAAATTGCTTAAAAATTAAGAACAAAATAAGAACAAATTGAGGCTGAGGTAAAATTTCAAATGAGGTTTATATTTTAAAAAACCAAAATATTATATCTGTACATTATGTGCAGTAGGTGTGAATGTAATACCCTCTATAAACTGACATTTGGGGCCATTTTCTGTGGGGTCACTTTCACCTACATTCAAGTACAGTGCATACTGCCATACAATTGTTTAAAAGGTGTGTAAACTAAGAACAAAATAAGAACATTTTGAACCTAAAATCGGCCAAAAAATAAGAACACTGAGCATGGGTAAAATTTTACTGGTAAATAAAAAAAAAAAAAAATGAAGTGTATTCAACAATCTTATTTCGTGATCTGTGTACTATTGTGAAACTCCTTACTGTTTTACTATTATCATAAAATTTACTATTATCATAAAACTTAAGCTTACAAAATTTTAATTAGTATGCAATGCTAATGTATGCAAGGTGTTCCACACACCTTGGATATGATTATCTATAACGATCTTTTGTTACCTTAATTGGACACCCGAAACATGTATACCATTAAATCCTTTGTAGTTTTTTTCTTAGAATGTGTTGTGTTTTTCATCAGTTTCTTCTGTTTGGTTCCATATCAAGGACTTTAATTAAAAGACCTGCCTATTTTTGTACTCACTGAAGTACGAGAAGATATCCTTATGTTTCATTAAAGATGAATTGGATTATACAGTCTTTTTTTACACAATTGTAAAACATTATGACGTTTTCCCAAAATTTTTAACATAAAATTTGGTATAAATTCTGTGATTCATACTATACTGTTTATCTTATAAAAAAAGAATGCTTGTAGAATGTTCTGGGTTGTTCACAATGCAATATGGTACTAGTATTAGAAACCACTTGTAAAGCAGTATGTTAGCTTCTAAGTAGTTGACATTTTTTGGATCGGTGCCAAATTCAGAAAGGCAGAGAACTAATGTGAAAATAATACATAATTCAACATAATGATCTGCTGTAAATACATGGTATATGTATTTATAAAAATGATTTTTAATGCATTTACAATGTTCATCATGGTCATGCAGAATGCATAGTATTGATGGATGCACCATTTTTAACAGACAAGATGAATGGCAAAGCAGAATTAAAATTTCTTCAAAGTTAATGCACCAGCAATGTGTAACCTTGGTTTTAGGCCTATATTTCTCCCTGCAAAAAAAATAGTTGGTAATTTAGTTAAACCCTCTTCTTTTTGGTGGCACCAGAAATTTGCCAACAAGGACTCAACAAGTCCAGCAATTGCTTCAGATTGGCCTGTCTGGGACCTCTTCAAGGTCCTGGTGTAAAACCCATGAGAGTTATAGGAGCAGTAATTTTATGGTTAAAATTTTTAAATATGGTGCATTTGGACCACATAATTAGGAAATTCACTCCATAATTAATATGATTGAATTGGCTAAATTCCTATTTGTAGTCCTACGATCTCAAGTAGGAAATTTCCACCTGACCAGATTACTACTGTGTTTGCCCGAATTTGGAAGACATACCTGCACGGTTTGTGGACCTGTCAGTCAGCTTCCATTTTATTTTTGTCACTGACATTTGTATCAGCCTAGTTCAAACTCTTTACACATGACTGTTATAATTTCTATAATGCAATTATTTATGTTAGCAGTATAAGCCTCTTACTATCTAGGTAATCTGGGGCAGATGATGCTATTTTTTCACTCCTTTGTGTTGTTCTTTCCTTCTCATTAAACATTATAAACAAGGTCGATAGGGTAAGCTCAGATTTGAGGGAACGTCAAGGTTAATTGTTGAATCACAATTGGAGAGAATTTAAATTGGTTGACTGTTAAACAAGACGCTTGCCTACCTTTGCTCAGGTACATTAAAAACCAGCATATTGTCATGACTAAAAACAATGCCACTCCTTAAACTACTAAGCCGCGTAATGAGACATGGTTGATAGAGCATTCACTTCCATCCTTTAAGTGATGCGTTAGACGTTATTAGATAATGAAAAAACAAATTAAATACAAATATATTGTAGCTGCATCTTTCCATTTAAGGTATTAATTTTCATTACCAGGGTCATGGGTTTTTCAAATCTCCGAAATATCAAAATTAATCTTGTGGCTAAAAGCATCAACTTGAGGCTTGTGGTGGCAGGGTTGAAAATGATAGCCTGTTAGCAGTGGGTGCTATAGTATGTAATGGTAATAACAAATTTGCACTAGGGAAATATAACAAGGATATGGCTGATCCTCATGAACATTAAAACATAATCAGACTTGGACCATTGGCAATTTGCTTGTAGTTGGATGAGGAAGAAATGAATATTCATGAACCAGATGTAGAAAAACATCTTGTTCATTTTAATTAACATGCTTTGAATGCCATGTCTGTATATTATTAATAAGTACTACAGTATATTCAATTCAATACCACTAAATCTCCTATTTGTAAAGGATTTGTTTTATAATTTTCATATTTTTTGTGCTCAAATGTAAAATTACAATGAACATGAAATATCTAAAAAAGCAATTTAGTATTGTGCCTAAAGCGTTCAATCATCTTATATTGTATGCCAAAAGCTCCCATTATAAGTAATTAGTTTGAAGCGATTGTTTATCCTTCCACTGATCGAAAAAAAAAAAAGATCTATTTAAACTCTAGAGGGCAGTAGATATAATATAAAAACAGCAACTGACTATCATGGAAAGGGAAAACTATTTGGTTTGTACTTTGCTATTCAAATAAATAATGATATTAACACATTGATGGCCACTGGCAAGGATAAATGTCCCTCCTTTTTTACAATCCAGTTAAATGGAATTTCATGGGATATTTTTGTTATACTTTGTTATAAGGAATGAGGAAAATCAATGTAATTGAATTTTTTTTACATTACTCTGATTAGGTAAGTTAATCTCACTCAAATCTACAAGTTTCCAATTCAGTGTCACATTTTTACCTACTGTAGGTTTAACTGCTATGTGAGTGGTTTATTGCATTGGTTGAGTTAGGTTGATCAAATGATGTTGAAATTGTGAACCTATAAAAAAGAAATTGTCAGCATGTATTTAATTTACAATACAAAAAGGCTGAGATTTAATAATAATATTAATAATAATAATAATAATAGTAATAATAGTTCATTCTTATAGCGCAAGTAAGCAAGTTCTCAATGCGTTTTACATAAAACACAGAATTGGAATGTCATGCTAAATACCATCAGTTAAACCCTGTAAAACATAAGTACATTTTTTAGATGGCAGTCATCAGGCACAGTTTTGAATAGAGGGCCCATGGAGGGAACTTTACAGGCCTCCTTGACCCGACCACTAGGTAAATGGTAGGAAATAAAACTCTCAGAGTTTAAATGTTTTCTCCACTTTTCCCCAAAAATATTTAAAAGAGCCTGGAATTCGCCTTAAATTTGTAATTAAGGTGGAGGTCCTTATCTGTCAACTTCTCAAATGGCATGTGTCCTCTGCATTTCCATTCTAACAATAGACTTAAATCTCCATATAATAAAACTTTTATTAATTGAAACCTGGAAATACAGTTGTCAATGTTGGAATAATATATATAGAATTTTTCAGAAGCTATCTGATCCTATGTTGCAAGTAAGTACTGAGGTTAAAGCATATAGTGACTACTGTACATGATTATGTAGATGGGACAATTTGCAGCGTATTTACAAAAAAATAGGTAGTAATGATAATAATAAAAGTAAATGGATTTATATAGCGCAAATAAATGAGGTCTCTATGCGCTTGACAATATTGAAGTCAAGAAAACAAAGAAAAAGCGGGAAAAAAAACCCCCCAAAAAAACAAAACAATAAACACCAATTAGCTTTTTAATCGAAATTAATATTAATTCAACCTCCTTCACTTATCATTCCCTGGGAAATACAGTACAGTATATTTGCATCCTCGGCATGTATCCTCCTTAAACGTCAAATAATCAAAAAACCAGAATGGAATGCAAAAACTCACTTAACGATGACAGCCTGAATTATTAAAATTGCAGTAATCCACATTTTGTAAGAACTACTAATTTGCTG